TCTTTGGGTACATCCATGCTGTAGTAAAAGCCCCACTGCCAGGCTGTGAAACCCCCCAGCAGCTTGCAGAGAGCAGGGCTCCCAGCCTCACCCCGTGGTGACAGCATATTTGATGTGGTTGCTGGTGGTGTAGATGAAAACTCCACTCTCATCCCAGGCCCCGCTCTTCACTCGGATGTTCTCGTGGATGTTACAGAGTGATTCCAGCTTCCTGTTGCAGATCATGATGGCTGGAGAGGAAAAACCACATGAAGTAAGGCCAGGGAACCTCAATTGTTAGACATCTGTCTCTGGATTCTGGATTCTGGCTCCTCTCTCCCACAGCCAAAGCAACAGGGACTATAGTCAGTGGCAGGCACTAAGGAGATGATGGCAACCACCACTCAACTGTCACCATCTGCCTTGGGTTTATAGAAGGGATTAGTTGGGTGGTTTTGAGGAGGACAAAAAGCCCTTTTCTCTGTTTTACAAGCTCCCAGAAAGGGTTTTTGCTGAAGAGACAAAGTGGCTGAGCCCACCCTGGGGATGTGTTCAGCTTCAGGGAGTGGTTCCTCTAGCAGGGACTCTGCTCCCCACCACGGAAGGAGCTGCTGTGCAGCAGGAGGAAGGTCACCTGTGCCCCCCACCACTCACCATGCTTGGCCAGCAGAGCAACGTGGGACATGTCAGCTGACCAGATGACATATTTCACCTTGGAGATCTTCACCGAGGCCAACGTGCTGGGGAGAGGACAGCAGTGAGGGCAGAGAGCTCACCAAGAGCCCCCCACAGCCAGGGGTGTGGCCCCCACCAGCACCCCAGAGCAGGACCCCCCCCTGGAGATGCCCTGAAGCCCCTTTTTGTCACTCTGGAGCTGTAAAATCCCCCAGCAGAACTCTACAGCCCAAAGCTCTCCTCACACCCAGGCAAAAACAGATCGATTGGGGTGACAACTGACCTCAAACCCCAGAGTTCTGAGGGGGATTTAGGGATAGATTTAACAGAATGAGGGGGAGAAGCCACTTCCCAGCAGCATCTGCAGGGTTTCATTGACTTGTAGCTTTCCCAACCATGTCAGAAAGAGAAAGGCAGAAAAATGAGCAAATGAGGCGAGTTCTTGGCTTGAGCAATCAACATTTGGGGTGCACTGAGAAGGGTCTGAACAGCAGGGGAGGTTCTCCTCCCCCTCTGCTCTGCCCCACTGAGGCCACCTTGGGAGTGCTGGGGCCAGTGCTGGGCTCAACAGGTCAAGAGGGACAAGGAGAGAGTCCAGCAGAGGCTCTGGAGATGCTGAGGGGCTGGAGCATCTCTGTGCCAGGCCAGGCTGAGAGCCCTGGGGCTGCTGAGCTGGAGCAGAGAAGCCTCAGAGGGGATCTGAGCAGGGCTGAGCAAGAGCTAAAGGGCCCCCGGGGGGCAAGAGGCTGGGGCCAGACTCTGCTCAGTGGTGCCCAGGGACAGGCCAAGGGGCAACGGGCACCAACTGGAACCCAGGAGGTGCCACCTGAGCAGGAGGAGAAACTTCTTTGGGGGGAGGGTGGCCGAGCCTGGAGCAGCTGCCCAGAGAGGCTGTGGAGTCTCCTGCTCTGGAGAGATCCCAAACTGGGCTGGGCACCCCCCTGGGCACCCTGCTGTGAGTGAGCTGCTGGAGCAGGGGGGTGGGATAAGCTGATCCCCAGAGGTCCCTCCCAACCCCACCACCCTGCATCACCTATCTGCAGAGAACCCAGAACCTCCTCCAGCCTCCAGAGATGGCCAAAACCATCAACTCCTTCCCTGTTTCTTTGTGGCTAGCGACACGTCCACCAGCACAAAGCCTCTGCCAAGAGCATTTTGAGCAGATACAGCCCCTAAGGGACAAGCCACTGGGCAAGCTGAGCTCAATTAGTTTGAGTTTGGGCTTTTTTTTTTATTTCTCCCCAATTTATAACAGCCAATTCTGCAGTCAGAGGATTTACAGGGGGGTGGGGCCACAGCTCCCCGACGGCCACAGAAATTGCCCCTTGGCTTTGTTTTCACTCTGCTCTTGCTCACAGCCAGCAGGTTTGGATCCCTCTGACACAGCCTGCAGCTGAGCCTAAATTCTGGAGAGCAGAAATAGCTGCTCCTCCTCCCCAGAGACCCCAGGGCAGCAGGATGGTGACAGGAAAGCTGCTCCCAGCAGGCTGGGTCTTACCGCTTCTGCTGGACATCAAAGAGGGTGATGGAGTCTGAGTCCCTCAGCAGCAGGTTCCCTGTGCCAGCGTAGAAGATCTCATCACAGTTGGGCACCTGCACCTTCTTTGTGATCTCATTCTTCAGGTTTTTGATGAGGATCTGTAGGTTTGAGGTGAGGAAATGGAAGAGCACAAGGCAGGGTGATGCTCCGAAGGAATTCGGGTTTATTTGAGCTCAGGGTGTTTGTGTAGCTGAACTTGAGTGGGAAGAGGCCCAAATAAGAGCTGTGGCCTCTCCTGAAGCAGGACTGGGCTTCAGCCAGCTACAAAACCCAGCCCCAACCTTGCCAGGGTGCAGACATGGGGTATTCTCCCCTTTTCACCCCACTGCTGTCATTCCTAGCTGGCTGATCCAGTTTGCAAACCCTCTCTGTAATAAATATATGGAATTGAGGAATTATTTCCCTCCCCCTTTTTTTCCTTCCCCTAAGCAGGACTGGGCTTCAGCCAGCTACAAAACCCAGCCCCAACCTTGCCAGGGTGCAGACATGGGGTATTCTCCCCTTTTCACCCCACTGCTGTCATTCCTAGCTGGCTGATCCAGTTTGCAAACCCTCTCTGTAGTAAAAATTGAGGAATTATTTCCCTCCCCTTTTTTCCCTTCCCCTTCACACCAAGGAAATTTAAGCAGGGAGAACTTTCCAGGACTGTCTTTCCCTCTTCTTTGTCCTGTCACACGGATGGAAGAGCTTCATTAAAAGAAATCTGACCTGTATTTTCCCCATTCCCTCATTACTTTCAGGCTAGGCAAACGAGCTGGGTGGCTGCACAGCCTCTCCCTGTCCAGCTTTCAGCCCTGAGCTCCCCTCCTGCAGGAAAGGAAGCTGGGTGGCTGCACAGCCTCTCCCTGTCCAGCTTTCACCCCTGAGCTCCCCTCCTGCAGCAGGATTCCAGCAGCTGAGCTCGGATTTACTGCCCAATAACTCAAACAAGAGCTCAACTCATCCCATTTTCACTGTGTTAACGTCTCTCTGTGTACATCCACAGCCCTCCCTCTGCCACCAAGGGCACTCAGATCCCTGATGTGCCTGGAGAGCTCCTCGTTGTCCTCCTGCATTGCTCTGGAGTCCCTCCAGCCCCCTCCCCTGCTGCCCTTACCGAGTGCATCCGATCCAGGACGGCGAAACGGTTCCGAGCGACCCACACTGCTGTCAGCCCAGAGGAACGTTTCCCTTCGGGGGCTGGGGCAGAGAAAAACACAGGCAGGGAACTCAAACTCTGGCATTTTCTCCCAGCAACACATCAGTCAGTCTGGTTTGATCCCATCTTGGCTCCTGGAGCCGCGTCGGTTAATTCATGTTTAACCCGAGGCTATTCACGAGTCTCATTTCCTCTTCCTCCCCCCTCCAAAATGTCCTCTCTGATCTGGGGGTGGCCAGTGCCAGCCCTCCTCTCCAGCCAAGGCACGAGGAGCGTGGCTGCTGGCTCCAAAAGGGGCCATCCTGGGTGACAGCACCGTCTGTCAAGCTAACGAGCAGCACGGCGCCGGCCAAACGAACCCGGCGGCGAGGGGCCCGGCCTCCACGTGAGCCCAGCCCCCCCTGCAGAGGCTGGAACCAGGGGGAGAAGAAGACCCATTGCTGGAGGAGAAAGGCTGCTGGAGAAGGGCTGAGCTGGCCCCAGCAGGCAGCTGATCTCCCAGGGTCCCAACACGAACACCAACAGGCAGCGCGGAACCCGCGGGACGCGGACACGAGGTTCCGCAGCAGTGGGAGGGGAGAAGAGGGGGGAAAAAGCTGCTGGTTTTGGGGTGAAATGGAAGTTTCTGGAATGCTCAGCCCCTTTTCTCACCAATCCTGTTGCTGCAGGAGGCTCACGTGCAAGAGAAAGTGCTGCTGAGGGTGGTGGGACCCTGAGCTAGGTTGCTCCAAGAGGTGGTCGCTGCCCCATCCCTGGAACATTCCAGGTGGGGTTGAGGGCTCTGAGCACCCTGCTCTGGTTGGGGGTGTCCCTGCTCTGCTTGGGGGTGTCCCTGCTCCCTGCAGATGACCTTTAACCCTTCCCACCCAAGCCAGTCTGGGATCTCTATTTCAGAATCCCCTTCCATTTATGGCAGATCTACATCCTAAAAATTGATTCTTTAAGCCCAGCTGCTTCACCCCTCAGCTCTCATTTACTGCCCAACACCAGAGAGACTTGTCTCAGCTCAATTCCCACCTCCACCAGAGGTTTATCTGATGGCTTCACCTGCTTTACTCCATCTCCACAACTCAGCATTTTTACTGGCTTTACATCTTTCACTGTAGCTCAGGCAGAAAAGGGATTGAAATCTATCCCCCAGAAGAGTGTTAAGGAGTGGTGAGAAATCTGAGCTCCCCTTGTAGGTCAGGTCAAGAAGCTGAAGGACAGGAGGATGACAACTCCAAGGAATGTTCAGCACCTACAAGTACAGCCCTGGGACTGGAGGTTGTATCTGTAGCAGCTTTTTGGAGAAGATATTTAAACAACCAAGAGAACTGGGTGTGATTCTTGGCAATGCATTAAAGTAAATAAGCATGAGGCTTATTTAGACATTTCTTCCTCTGGAAGAAGCCCTGTGCTCATTTAAAGGGACACAAGCTGGGTGTCTGCAGACAAATCAGCTCTGAATATCTCAATCAAGCAAAAGAGTTGCAATATATTCAATAATTTTGAATTTATATAGAGCAAGCAAAGGCTCCATTTCCCTCCCTCTCTCCAAAGACACCTGAGTGCACTCAGCAACAAAATCTTCCCTTCCTCAGAGCTTCAGAAGTCCATAAATCCAGGAGGAAGGGGCCTGCACTCCAGCCTAACTCATCACTCCCCCTCCTTTCAACATCTTTCCTGCCGTGACGACAGCAGCAGGAGGAACCAGCTGGAGTTTGGGAGCCCAAATGGAATCTGTAGTTAGGAGAAAGACTGATTTTTATTTTCTTTTTTCCTAAATCATATTTCCACTAGTAAATTGCAGAGAACTGATCTGGAATTCACTGAGAGGAAGAATGGCTCCTGGCACCCTGGTGCCTGTCACTTTTACAGCCACTTTTCAGAGGATAAAAATCTCTCAGAACCAACCAGCTCCTGGTTCAAATCCATCTCTGCTGACAGGCCAGGCCGGCTGCCTGCTGCCTCAGAAGGGAAAATGCAAAGTTCCTAATAAGCAAATTATAAAATATATATTTGTAGCAGTAAAAGTTTGGGAGGAACATGAATTTTTCAAGTCAGTGCAGGGTGATAGAGTGAGGGGGGAAAGCTGCCAAACGACGTGTGCTGCAGGGGCACTGGGAAACGTGGAGAAAAGGGTCCAACCAGAGAGGCTGAGAGAAATGAAGCTTTTTTTTTTCCTATAGAACACACACAGAGAGAGTTGGGAAAGAGGAGGAGGGGACAGCAACCCAGATATAAACACTCCCAGGGCTTCAGGGGGGGGAAAAAGAAGTGCCTACCGTCAGGATTCTGGGAGTCGGCGTCCTTGGGAATGGTGTAGAGGTCGTAGGTGCTGTTCTCCAAGTTGCTGGCTCTCTGCAGAAAGGGGGGAAAAAAGCATTTGGGGATTGGGTTTGAGAGGCCCAAGGGTGAGAGGAGGGTGGGAGGGGCTGGGGCAGCAGCAGGGACTCACAGTGCAGAGCAGCACGGCGTTCTCGGCCGGGTTGTAGGACATGCTGAACACGGGGAACTTGGAACCACTGGGGAGCAGTCAGGAAGGAAAGAGGAAAGTTAGGAGTGCACCAATGGCACCTCGACCCCAAATCAACCTCTGATCAATGCTTTTCGTTTGGTGAAATCTATTGAGTAGCAGAAAAGCTCAGTTGGATTGAATTTCCTGGGTTATTTTGGTTGGAAGAGATCGTTAAGCTCCTGGAGTCCAATTGTCACCCCAGCCCTGCCAGGTCCCCACTGCCCCGTGTCCCTCACCCCACATCTCCACAGCCTGGGAACCCCGCCAGGGGTGGGGACTCCACCACTGCCCTGGGCAACCCTCCAGGGCAAGAAATTCTTCCTCAGGGAGAACTGAAACCTCCCCTGGGGCAACTTGAGGCTGGTTCCTCTTGTCCTATCCCTTGTTCTTGGGAGAACAACTCGAGCCTGACCTGGCTCCAACCTCCTTTCAGGGAGCTGTAGACAGCAAGAAGGTCTCTCCTCTTGGAAACACTGTTAGAACAGTGTTCCACAAACAACAAATTGTCATTTGAAACAGATTTTCTTTTGCCTAGTTTTATCACAGCCAAAAATTGACTCAAAAACCATCCTGCAGCCCGAGCTCATCACCCAGAAGAGCCCGTTCCAACCGAGGACGCAACAGCACGACGACGAGGGGACTCAGGACCTTGGTGACACCTCGTGGGACACCAGGAGCACCCATCTCCTACCTCCTCAGCTGCATGACAGCAACATCCTTGGAGCTGTTGAAGTCCAGCTGGCGGAGGAACCTGTCCTTGACGTAGTAGAGCAGGTTCCCGTGCACGGCGTAGGCGGGGCGCTCCCGCTCCAGCTTGAAGACAATCATGCCCCCGTCGTGCCCTGTGGAGAATTCACACCCTGGGGGTCACCTCAGGAGGGAGGTGAGGTCACCGAGCCCTTCAAAGTGGCAAAAAAACCCAGCCAAACACAGCCAGGCAGGTTTGCTACCTGCTCACAGGGATGGATTTAGTGATTCCGCTTCTACCCCGAGGGCCCCGACAGGTTTCTGAGATCTGACACCTGAACACTTCCCCTCACTGCCAGGAATTCCTTTAATCCTCCAGGATCCAGTCCCATGCTCCCTTAGCCTCAGAGAGTTCACAGAACTGTATGGGCTGGAAGAGACCTTGAAGGTCCTGGAGTCCATCCACCCCCCAGCTCTGCCAGGTCGCCGCTGCCCCGTGTCCCTCACCCCACATCTCCACGGCTTGGGAACCCCTCCAGGGGTGGGGACTCCACCACTGCCCTGGGCAGCCTGGCACAGCCCTGGGCAACCCTCCAGGGCAAGGAATTGTTCCTCAGGGGCAACTGAAACCTCCCCTGGGGCAACTTGAGGCTGGTTCCTCTCATCCTTGTTCCCTGAGAGCAGAGCCTGACCCCCCCCTGGCTCCAGGCTCCTGTCAGGAGGTGTCAGAGCCAGAAGGTCTCCCCTGAACCTCCTTTGCTCCAGGCTCAGCACCCCCAGCTCCCTCAGCTGCTCCTCCCCACACTTGGCCTCTAGACCCTTCCCCAGCAGCTCCGTTGCCCTTCTCTGCCCACGCTCCAGCCCCTCAAGCTCCTTCTTGACCCAAAACCACCCCCAGGATTCGAGGTTCAGCCTCCCCAGTGCCCAGCCCAGGGGGACAATCCTGCCCTGCTCCTGCTGCCCACACCAGTGCTGCCCCAAGCCAGGATGCCAGAGCATTCAGCTGGTTTACACAGAGCTGTCTCACTCTAGCTCTGGCCTGCAGCTGACACAACCAGACTCTGCTCCTCTAATAAAGATTTTTCCCTATGACACACTTCATAAAACCAACTACTAGTCAGCATGTTCTCCAAAGCATACTGAAGGGAAGCAAAGCCCCTCTAGATGTTCAGATGGCCCTTTTCTCTTCCCAAAAACCTGCCAGGCACTTAAAAGGGTCCTTTTTTTACCTGCAGCAAAGAGGTTGAGGTTGGGATGAGCAGCCAACACCCAGAAGCGATCGTGGTCCCGCCGGAAGGTCTGGACCCCCGTGCTGAGCATGGGACAGAAGGAAAAAAGGAAGATAAATTGGAATCCTTGGGGTTCAGCACACTCATGACCCACCCAACAGCAGCCTTGGTGTTGTGAGAACTCCAGGGGTAAGTGCAGGACTCCCAGAGGGGTGGGAACCCTCCCAAGGTGGCAGCGGGTGCCTGGGGAGCGCTCACCGCTTGGACATGTCCCAGACACGGATGCTCTTGTCTTCAGAGTTGCTGAGGATGAGCTCCTGCCGTGGGTGGAAGACAGCACAGGAGACATTGTTGTAGTGCCCACGGCACGTGTCAACCTCCCAGGCCTTTGATTCTGACCAGAAGTGGAAAAGCAGACAAGTAAGACTCAAAAAGAAGCAGCTCTGCCATGGCAGGTGCACAGCGAGCACTTTGTTGTAGAGGGAACTGCACCAGCCACCAGTCACTACCCCATGGACTTCAACTGCATCTCCAGCCACTAGCACAGCTCACCCCAGACACACAGAGCAGCCAGATCACTACAGAGGTGCTGAGAAGTGTGATTTAGCTGGAGAGAGCTGCCCAAAGCAGGACCCCTCCCAACAAAGGGCTTCTGGCTCCCCCGTCGTCTCCATCCCATCCTCCAGAGCCAACTTTTTCTACATTTAACTCACTAAATCCCCCCCAGCTTCATTTACGATGTCCAAACCTAAATTTCAACTCTCAACCCTCATTTTCTGCCCCCAAGGGCTCCTCTTGGAGATCCCACTTACCATTCATCCGCCAGATCTTCACTTGTCTGTCATCAGCCCCTGACACAATGAGGGGCATGGTGGGGTGGAAGGCAGCCCAGTTCACCCCACGGTCGTGGCCCTGCAGGGAAAAAGAAGAAAAGAGTCCCTTGAAACAATCTGGTGAGTGAAGGGAACGAGGAAAAGGAGGATGGAGCAACAGAGAGTGGAGGCAGGCTTGCCAAGACCCAGCTCTGGGTGTTTTCCACACCACCCTGCTCCCCACCCAGCACTGTGACAATAACGAGCTCTGCAGATCCTGTTCTTCACCAGAGGAGCAAAGCTGAAGCTCAGCAGCAAGGCAGCACCACTTCAGAGCTGGAATAAGTCATTCCAGAGGGTTGTCTCCAGCATCATCTCCTCTGCAGCCTCCAGTAACACGAGGTAATAACATCTGCTCTTTAACTGAGCTCTTGGCTGCGTGGAGAACAGCGAAGCTGGTGACAGCACAAACATCTCCAGAGCTCCAGTTTTGAGCTCAGAAAAAGTGATGCTGTGCTCTACAAGAGCCCACATTTTGTGAGGAGCAGCTGAGGGAGCTGGGGGTGCTGAGCCTGGAGCAAAGGAGGCTCAGGGGAGACCTTCTGGCTCTGCAACGCTCCTGACAGGAGGCTGGAGCTGGGCTGGGGGCTCTTCGACCAAGGAAGAAGGGATAGGGCAAGAGGAAACAGCCTCAAGCTGCCCCAGGGGAGGGTGAGGTTGGAGCTGAGAAACAATTTCTCCCAAAAAAGGGTTGTCCAGGGCTGTGCCAGGGCAGTGGTGGAGTCCCCACCCCTGGAGGGGTTCCCAAGCTGTGGAGATGTGGGGTGAGGGACACAGGGCAGTGGGGACCTGCCCGTGCTGGGGGATGTTGGGACTCCAGGAGCTGGAAATTTCTTTCCAATTCAAACCATTCTATGATCCTATGTAGAGCAGAATCAGGTGTTTCAACTGTGTCTCCCCTGCTATTTTCCTGCACTTGGAGAGGCTCTTTTGGCTCACAGGGATTTCCCCTGAGCCCTGGGCTGACACTACCTCCAGGACGTGCTTCACCACCGCGTCTGTCGTCCCGAACAAATCCACCCCAGTTATCCCCCTGACGTCGGATTCCACAGCTCCTGGGGACAGGTTCTTCTTCCTGAGGCCTTGTGGAACAGAGGGGAAGGAGAAGAAAGGGTGGAGGAAGGAAAATTATGCTGATAGCAGAGGGCAACTGGCACATGGTCATCTCTCCCCGCTCACCCCTCTGCCAGTCTGACCTCGGACCTCTCAGGGGAGGAGTTTTATCTCCCCCAGCCTCTTTCATGACCTCTTGGTTATGGATTTGGACAACTTGCCTCAACACTAAACATTTCCATGGATTGCCCATTCTCAGGTTGCTCAGAGCCCTGGCCAACCCCACAATGCCTCCACAAATGGAGCTTCCAACACCTCTTTGAACCACCAGGCTCTCCCCACCCTCAGCTTCAGATATTTCTTCTTCTCTCTAGTTTAAATCTCCCTCTTTTAGTTTCAAACCACCCCCACCTCATCCTGCTGCAGCAGGCCCTGCTGAAAAGTCTGTCCCTGGAAGTAAACCCAAAAATCTGCTGGGAAAAAAATGCCCAATCCTGTCAGCAGAAGCTGGAAGATCCCAGCAGAGCTCAGCACCAAATGAAGTCCTCTCTGACTGGGATTATTTCCACCACATCCATCAGACCAAATGGGGAATAAACCTTTCCTGGGAGCCTGCTGGAGCCAGGACAGAGTCCTGCTAAGGCCATGAGTGATTCTGGGGGGGAAAACTGAGGAGTGGGATGGAATTTGGAGCCTGTTTCTCATCAGTCTGGAGGCTCTGCCACACGTTGGGTGTTCTGACAGAGGCTGGAGCGACAGCTGAGTCAATAATTCAGCACGTCTCTACAACCCCCCAGCACATATCAGAGGAGGGAAAATAAAAGGGCTGAACCCTCTCCAAAGCCATTTGGCAGCTGGAACTCTGCAGAGAGCGAGTGTTTGGGGGAGAAGGCAGCAGCACAGCTCCCTGGCAGAGGAGCTGGTTCAGCTCCCCCGTGCTGGCAGCCCGCAGAGGGTCACAGGTTTGAAATCCCCACCAGGGCCTGGCCCCAGCCCCTGCTGCTGGCAGAGCTGGTCACAGCTCAGCTCAGGCTCCCAACAAGGCACAGGGGCAACCAAACCCCCCAGGGGCAGAGCAGCAGCTTGGGAAAGTGGCCCTGGAAGAGCCTGGGGGGTTAACACCACCAGTGGGAAGGGAATCCCAGACTGGTTTGGGTGGGGGGGATCTCACCCACGCCCTGCAGGGAGCAGGGACAGCCCCAACCAGAGCAGGGTGCTCAGAGCCCTCCCCTGGGATGGTGCCAGGGATGGGGCAGTGGCCACCTCTCTGGGCAACCTGGGCCAAGGGGCTCCCCACCCTCAGGCTCCAAAATTTCTTCTATCTTGGCTAAATCTCCCTCTTTTTGTTTAAATCCATCCCAACTCATCCTGGCACAGCAGCTTCTCCTCAAAAGTCCATCCCCAGCTTCCTCACAGGGCCCCTTGAGTACTTCCCACACAGGAAGGTCTCCCTGGAACCTTCTCTTCTCCAAGCTGAAGTTTCCCCTGCCCACCTCCCACCAGTCCCTGATCTCCACCTGGAATGTTCTTTATTTCATTTAGAGACCACATTTCATGCTTCCAAGTCACTCTTTGGCCTTGATAGAAGTGAAAAGCAGCTAAAATATCAGCAAGTACTTTGGGGTTCTCAGGTGCAGCTCCTGCTTGGATCTTTAGGGCATGTTTTGTTTTATAAAAAGAGCAGGAAGATTGAAAAAAATATGAAAAAATCCCTAATCTTATCTTCCTGTCACCATCAACTGAGCTACCAAAAACAACACACCCCAAAAGCCCCAAATCCTCCTCTTTTTGCAGTCCAGACAGAACCCTGTTTCATCTTTCTCCCAGAAAATGACTTACTGCTGCCTCCAAGAGTCACCTGGATTGGCTTTAAAACCACACTGGGAGATCAGGGGCCAGAATCTCCTTCCTTAGAGGTTATTTTGGCTGCACAAAGCTGCAGTTCCCCTTCCCTGCTGTGGTAGATTTGCTCAAAGCAACAGGACCTGGGGGGTTGGGCACAGCCCA